TATGTTGATCTATACAAGTTAAAGTTTCCCTAATAACGATCACTTACAGCAATGATCAATGAACAAATACTGCAATGATCAGTAATACCATAACATAAGTAATCTTTCAGTCTCTCCGAGAAAAATCTACTGCCTAATCAGTTTTATATCTGTTAGCATATATGGTTAAACTGTCTTCTAATGAGTGATTTATCGACAGCCAACTGTTTTTAGATGAAAAATCGTCACTAAATTTCCTGTTAAAAATACCAAAAATATAAAATTTAATAAAATTATTGATTCCTGGGAAATTCAACTTTTGTAACTCAAAGTTAAAGTTACTCCAATTAAATTAAAACAATTAAACAATAAAAAATAAAAATATAATTAATTAATTCAATTACTCTACAGTTGGTTTATGATTTGTAGAAAATAAAAGGCAAGTACGGCGCTGACTCTGGGCTTCAAATTTGGCAGGACCCGAATTCGATTCCTGGTATTTGCAGTCGCAAAAAAATTATTTACGAGTAATTAAATACAAGCCCACTGATGTTGGGTATTTGGCAATACTCGAAACAGCTGTGTGGTCAGCCAAAAATTCAATTAATTAAAATAATATAAAATGAATTTTCGTTGTTGTAGTTCACTACTGCTTGAAAAACCTCTTTAATTGGGTTTTATTAAAACAAATATTTTCACTATTAAAAAATTGTCATTACTTCTTAGATCCATGTGCGAGTCGTGTTAAAAACAAAACATTCGAAACGATTCTTCATAGGCATTCTCGTTAAAGGCGTGTGAGAAGTATAAGTAATTCAAGCATTAGGCCTATCAACCATTTTTTTAAAAACCCTGACGTGGCTGTTTGTTAGTACAATGAAGGGTATTATAAGTGGACTTAAATTTTAAAATCTAAAGAGTAAAAGTCTATTGAAATATTGTGACTTAAGGTTAAATGTTTTGCCTTACTAAGAAATCGTACATAATTTATAAAACAATTACATGTGGTACCTTAAAAACATAAATCATAATTATCACCTAAAACATTTGGAATGTGTGATATTTAAATGTTAATGATTCATTTAATTAGATATATTTTAACATTTAAATGTATGAGAAATCCACAATTCCACTTCAGTAATTACGTAATTTTATATGAATGAACAGTTGTTGAAAAGTAAAAATAAATAAAATATAATAATTATAATTTAGCGCATTTTTGGTAAATACAAATGTTAAAACAGGTCTCATTTATTTCGATAATTAAGGCTGTTAAAAAATATCAAAAAAACAAAGTAAATAAAATTTTATGGGAATAACATTGACGCTATAAGGCCACGATCTAAAGCTTTTAGGGCAAAGCATTGAGAATAGATAAGAAGTAATTAAGTTAGTTAGAGAATAGAAAAATATCATATGAAATAATAAAATAATAATATGTTTAAATATATGGTAATAAAGACTTGAAATACAATTTATAGATTTAGTTTTATGTGAACTATTTAAATCGCATATTTATTATAGTAATAAGATTTCGATAAGTTTAGGTAATTAGTATTAGTATTAGTTATACTTATTAGTTATAACTATAATTGATACTTAAAGTGTAGCAGTATATCTCAACTTTTAAGTTAAATGACATAATTGTGATGCTACGGGTAGCAGCTGCTGAACTCTAAGTATGCTCAGCACAGTCTTGAATTTGAAAAAGTAGAGATTTAAGAAAAAAATGACAACGCTATCTCGTTTAAAGTCAATTTAGTATCGAATTTTATGGTCTAATGCAACTATGATAGCTCAGTAATTAATGAATGCTCATGTAAGGTAATTTAACTAGCCCAGAAAGTTGACGAAAGGAGCGCAACATGACTGGAAGCTTCGAAAACTCCTATGAGATAATTTAAGCTTTTGTCAATCGCTTCTTTTTGGACTAACGTTGTATATATCCTGATATACAGTATAATCTTAAACAGAAGTATTTGAGACTATTATTCATAGTATAAACAAAATGATTCCTTATTAATTAATTATACAATTATGCTATGATATGTTTCTAAATTAAATATAATTTGTGCAGATTGAACCAGATATTTTATTCGAATTTCCATTTGCGAATCCCTGCTGAATCGCAATTAAATCGACCCATTTCTCAAGCGGTTGATGACTGGTGATGAAAAGTCAACGATTGGATTACTTACGACAACGTTGTAAGTGATCAAATCGCAATGTGCCGGCTAAAACAGTGGCTAAGCCAGAATTGACATCCAGGCAGTGTGTGTTTCGTCTACTATGAGCTGCTTCCCTACGGTAAAACCCTTAATATGGAACTGTACTGTCAACGATTAGACCGTCTGAAGGTTCAAGGCTTGTAAACATCGACTCTCTCAATTTTTTGCCTCAATTTTGTCTCGGAACTGTACTGCCAACAATTAGACCGTTTGAATGTCAAAGGTTTGTAGAAATCAACTGTCACAATTTTTTTTCAATAGAACGAGGACTTCTATGAGAAAGCCATAATAAAATTACCTACAAAATGGCAACAAGTTATTGAACAAAACGGCGTATATTCGACCTAAATCTCTATCATTCTAACTATGAAAAATACTCCCTCAATTTTTTGCCAAAGTAATGAATTTCTTTTTCTTACCTCTATTATTTTTGATCACAACACGATTCCATTTAGCTATGTATTTATATTTATTTTTCTATATGTTTGTCTGTTAATAAATAAATTACGAATGAAATTGGTCAACTATACCATAGAGCCAACATACAAATTAACTAATATAACAAAAAAGTTCATATTTTTACATATATTTGAACTTTTTTTAATTGGAGCTGTGTCAGTGCAGCTTACAGATTTTATTTGATACGAAACCAAAGTATAGGGTCTAAATTCGCTACTATAGAAGACCGTTCCATATGGGTCATTTATATAAAATAAAAAATTTTAATAATGTTCAGAATTGGTGATTGTCTAAAATTAATTATGCAGAAGTACACAATACTATCTTATATAAATCGATTAATCGTGGCATATCCAAACTATTTAATATTAAAAATGTTTATTCAAAGCTTTTCTAAAGAATATTAGCTAATTTTACTGATGCTGCCGCTCACTAGCGTGTCTAGGAGAGTGCGATTGAGGACAGATTATTCTCTTAAAAACATAATCTACAGAATATACGCTGCAAAAGCATTGTCAAAAAAAAACCTACAATATCAGCCCTCTTTTAGTATCTTTTTGGCTACGCCTCTACTACAATCTTTAATTATATTTATACTTTTTTTATTACTTTTTACTGCGTAATCCATACATTTGAGTTGAGTTGAAGGCTGTTGTTTTTAAGAAACACAAGACACAACAATGCAAATGCAAAAATTGTGTACAAAAAAGTGGCAGTTTTGCAACAACAACAATGTCGTCTAGTGTACTACACATATATAAATTTATTGAAGTTGAAAATTGTGGAAAAAAGCTATACACTGCTAATTGAGTTTTTTAAACTAAACGTTGATTTGTAACATAACTATTTAAATGTATGGTAGGTAAATATATGTATATATACATATGTATATAAACATGTTAACACTTTTAATGTTAATTTATTTGATCGTGTTGAGAATTTTTCAACTCTGACCTATGTGTGTATGTATATCAAATTTCAAACTATTATACATGTATTTAAAAATGTTTAATACATTATTTGCTAAGATTTTCTATAACAATTTTATAAAGATTTTTTTTATTACCTACTTCCTACTAACTTCACTGAGGTTCGGTTCACTAACTCAGTGACTTTAACTGATCTTATTACGAAAAAACAACACATTATTGCTGGTAGTTGTACTAAGAAGTACTTGGCCATAAACATTATAAGTAACATAAAATTAAAATTATACTTATATGATTAAATATATAAAAAAATAAAACAACTATTTACAAAAATGAGTCATTAATTAAGATTTGAACTGAAGACGCCATGAGTACAAGTGCTACGCAATATGTAAATGAAACATTTTTTTTTGGTCTCAACTTTCTGTTTTAATTTAGATTCCCATTAACAAAAAGTGAAATTTTAATTTATTTTGTAGAAGCGAAACATTATGTTTATTGTTGTTATTGTTTCTGTTTTAAACCCAAACTTGAATTGAATAATAAAAACAGAAAACACATTTGAAATGCACATGCACAAAATGTAAATAGCGTTTACTAACGTACTTTGTATAATCTAAGTAAAGTTCAAGGGGGGAGTGGTAGGTGAGGTACCTTAACTCAGAAGGAGACAAGCAGTTCAATTCACACATTGAATGTGAATGTGTATACCGAAAGCATAGCAAACACAATAACGAAAACAACAACAACAACAATAATAGTAACAATAACCGTAGCAAAAGTAGGCCAAAGTCAAATTTATAAAAAAAAGGAAAAATATTCTTAAGAAATAAAAGAAATCACTAATATATATTATTTAATTAATCAATTTTTATATGCCTTTTTATTTGTATTTACAAAAAAATTATTTAGTTTAAAAATTCCTTGATTTATATATATATATATATATATGTTGCCATTATTTTGAGACGTCATATGCTGCACCTAGCCAAATAACAATCAATAGCTACTTTCCCTACATTTCCAATTACCAACCCCCTACCAAATACATATCTCTTGTTAGAATTTTATTTATGTTACAGCATACTTGTTATAAACCACAACAACAACAACACCACCAACACCAACAATAGGCACCCTTCCCAATTTACTGTTGAATAAGCGCAACAAGAACATATCGGGCAGCCAGCCCACAGCTAAGTTTGTATATAAATTCCGGAAGCTTTGAGAAACTAGGTCAAATCACTTGCGTCGCATGCTTGAATCGACTCAAGGACAAATTAAGCTGAGGGCACTACTGATGTATGCAGTAACAACAAACCCTGCCTACTGTATACCTCCCCATATTGGGTAGCGCATTTGCTCGTATTGTATAAACATTATTAAAGGTTATGTTTTCACTTACCTGCAGCGAAATGCAATGGCGTTGATTTGCGTCCACGTAAATCGACGGAATTTACCGTTTGAGGTGTTATAAGCTTCTTCACTTTGGCTATGTCACCAGTTTTACACGCTTCAAATAATTCTCGCAGTGGATCATTAGCCATGGCTGCGTCCAGCGTATTGAGTATAGCACGACTACGACTGGACATGGTTGCAGCACTACACCAGTCAGTGTGCAAAATACGTGGTTTTCGTGTACCGCGCCCCACCCTGCCCCAAAATTGTTAACAATTTAGCACTGAGTAATGCGCTATACTTCTATTCTTTATTTTATATTTGTATATATCGTTTTAGTTTGTTTTTCGATTTTCGTTATATATTTTAAACTTAAAACTACAATATTTTAATAAGAAAACTTTTCTTTCGTCATTTCAGTGATAGCGAAATTGTTCGTTTGTTGCTTTGCACAAATTGTATCGATTTAATTTCTTTGCAATAAGCACAAGTTTATTATTTATTTAATTCGAATTCACTACTTTTAAAAAAATATATTATTGCACTGTATATTATATTTATTTTTCAAACAAAATCAATAAATTTAAGAATTTTTCACACACCTTTGTCATCGTCGTCAACAGCTGAATTGATACGAAGTTGCCTTTCTTTTTGTTTTAGTCAATTTCTTGACAGTGTTGACAGTGTGCTACAATAGTAGTAAATTTGCAATACGTGCTATGCAGTGTGTGCCACAGCAAATAATTTAAGTCATGCAAAATACGTATAAATTGTACTTTTAGCACAAATCAAATAAAAAAAATTTATGTATATTTTTGTATTAACTAAAGATAATATATTACAAAATATATAAATAAAAGTGTGATTTTAGAATAATAATTTTTACATGAAGTACAGAAAAAAACAAAAAAGTTATTTGAAATTAATATAGTGTTGACAATAGATTGAAATAAGATTGAATAAGCTATGAATAAAATTCGTATTAAATGGTTTCAATTTAATGGTTCAACATTTTTAGTTACTACTATCGAGTGTAAACATATTTAAGATTTGTTGTATAATAAGCTTGAATTTAAATTGTATAAATTATATTTTAACATATACAGAATTACATGACATAATATCATATAAAAATCTCTTTATAATTTTGTTCGAATAGAACGAAAAATTTATGAGACAAAATAAAGAAATTTATTTTACTTTGATTTGGAGAATTAGATTTCTCATAAATCGCTTAACTTAAGTGTTAAACACCACAGGAACATCTTTGTTGTCAATTGTATTGTATTTCTTTATGGGCGAAGATTTTGATTATCGAAAGGACGCTAAAAATAATGTCGCAAACAGTGTTAAAGCTGGATTTAGTTGTCAGGCGTAGCACACATAAGAAATGTGAACTGGAGAACGCAGAATAAGTGATTAGTTATGAAAGAGTAAACTCAGAGCAAAACAACATAAAAAGAAAAATAATCTAATTTAAATCTGATCACAAAATACTTCACAGACAAAAAATTTAATGTTCATTCAAGCTGCAAAAAGTTTTCTCCTCTGTTTACGTCAATTGGTTCTTACATTACCCTTTATTGGGTGAGTAAAAATCTTGTTGAAATGCAAGCCAGATATACGCAGAGTAGCACTACCTCGAATACTCATTCAGTCGTATACAACTAATAGTTCAAAATACTATTTGTTTAAAAATGTATGAAATTCAAGTTTAAGTTGTTTAAATTAAATGCGTATATATTCAATAAGCCACACTTCGTGTTCATGAAACAATTTAAGTTATGCCAGATAATAATTTTTAATGCTATATTTATAAGAATTGCTAGTTTGAATGAAAAATAAGTAATTTATTCAAACAGAAAAATGTTGATTTAAATCATAGAAAGCAGTAAAAAGTTTGGTTTGCTTTAAAGACTTCAGAATACAATTGTGTTTATTTATACTTTATTTTAATTATAATTCTATAAATCGATAAAATAAAATGAATCAAATTATCACATTAGAATAACAATATATATATAAAATTAATACATCCATAATTATATATAACTGTATGCGAAATTAGATCCAACGAGAATGATATTTAATTGTTGTACACTGTTCTTATACGTTAAGTTTTTATGAAATTTATATCAAAAGCATTTGTATTTTTTATCAAGCAATAAAATATATTTATTGAAATTTATACATGATTAGATACAAATGAAATTATTAAATCAAGTAAAATGGTAATGTTAATGAAAATTAACTGTTTGTAGTTATTCTTTTGGTTATTAATAAAATATTTTCATTAGATATTTCAACTCTTTTTCTCTTACCTAAAATATCACTATTTAAATCTATTAATTGAGTAATGTAATTATATGAATCATTTTTAATCCGATATATTAAATACAAAACAGAAAAATATTAAAATATTTATATTATATAATAAAAACAACACCCAATATGAGAATATAAATGCTTGATGTTTCGAAACTATCTTAAGTAAAGTTTGTTAGCTAATGTAAACAAGCTACGTTTGTTATGTATGTTAATGCAAACATGCTGTTACTGTTATTGTGTATTGAGTAAATTTAAATTTTCTGGTAGTTCGATTCTGTATTATAAAAGTTTACAACACTGTTTCTTTCTCCAGCTAACATATGTTTTTTGTTTATTTTTCTTTTTCGTTGTTTTTGTACAAATTTCTTTGTTGTTTCATACGTTTCATTAATATTTCAACCTGTTCCCTTAAAAGAACAGAGTTGATAAAACTGACATGCACAGAAGAAGAACAAAATGAAAATGGCGTTTTTTATGTGAACAAGTGAAGAGAAGTGCACATATTTTATATATTAAAATAAATGAAATAGCTTAAACTAATTTAGTTACGAAATGCACAAGTGAAACAAGAAATACAAAGGCTCAAATTATTCTTAAAAATGTGCACGAATATAGTAAATTAATGCCTTTAAAATATTTAACCCAAATACAAGTGAATCAGAATTTTTCAATGCAATCAAGGTACACCGCGCTGACGTCGCACCAACAATATTAATAAACCAGTTGTAGACAACCACCAATTAAGGCTGCAATAAGTGCAAGTGAACTCCAAGAAAAGTAATTTCCAGTAATAAAAGAGAAAAGGGAAACATTTAAAAGTGAAGTAGAATAATAGCGAATAATTAATTTATCGCCCCTACACTATAAACTCATTTGTTCATATAGCAACGAAAACAACAACGAAGCCTAATACACAAATAAGTTCTGTCACGCGAACAGCAAAATGGGCCAGGTAGCCCTATGCGGCGGCTGCTGCAATAGTGGGATGCGGCCAATGTGGCTGGTGTAATTACAATTTTACGCTGCATTTTGGAGCTACTTCGCATCGCTGCGCATGAAACGCTTTACTGATTTTGTTATTTGGTATTTATCTTTGCCAAACGCTCCTCCGTGCTCTAACTATTAATGTACATTAGCGACATAAAAATTCGGCATTCGAGCATCAAATTCTCAACAAAGTTTTTCTAATTCTAATTAGAATTTTAATTTGAATAAAATCTGTTCACCTCAATTCCATGTGTGATAGTTTCTCAATTCGGCAAGTGCTTATATTATTTACAATTAGGAATTAATTTATTTTAAAATGGAATTAAAAGTTTGGGTTGAGGGCATACAGCGCATTGTGTGTGGCGTCACTGTAACCACAACATGTCAGGTATGTGAAGGAAAAAAACGATATGTGATTAATTATTGCTATGATAATTAAAATCATTTCATTTGCAATAATTTGATTTATTTGATCAATAAAATTAAATATTTCCTGTTATCCTTTCTATATACAGGATGTTGTTTTCGCTCTGGCGCATGCCACTGGAAAAGTGGGTCGTTTCACGTTAATCGAGCGTTGGCGCAATAATGAACGATTACTTGCCCCAAATGAAAATCCGTTAAAGCTCCTATTAAAGTGGGGTGAGTATGCGAACGATGTGCAGTTCATCTTGCAAAGGTCCGAAAATAAACAACAACAACAACAACAGCAACGCGGAGAATCAACAGGAGCTAACAACAACAACAACGCTGGCAGTGATAGAAATTCTACCCAAACAAATGCTGTGGTACTTAAGAAACCGTTGGGTTTAAGCAATACAAATAATAACGTAAATAACAGTAATAATAATAACATCAATAATAATAGCCATAATTCCAATAATATTAATATTGCGAATACACTGAGTGCTCAACAACAGCACTTAAATAATAATGAATTAAACTTCAATTTACCACACGACAAAACAAAAGAGTATCGCAAAAGCTTCGGGTAAATCATTTTGATTAAAAAATATTTTTGTGATTTAAATTAATTTTTATTTTTAGTGCTTACGACGCAAAACACAATGAGAACATTGGTATTGTTAAAGGAATTCCACAACGACTTAATGTGAACAATAATAACAATAAAAACAGTAACTTGTTACAAAAAAATTCTCCCACACCTCCCACAAATTCAACTGTATCATCTATACCAACTGCCATATCACGCTCACCCTCAACTACACTAAATACACAACCACAATCTTCCCCTTTGTCCCAAATCTTGCCAAAACATGAAAAATCTCATTCAAATCCTATTGAGATGTCTAGCAACTATCAGCACACAAATACGTCGAATGCAGAAGTTGGTGGTGCTTTTAACGAAAACAATAATAATATATATCATCAACTTGGTGCTCACAATAGTAAATCAATCAACGAAATTAATTTAGCTGAAGTGCGTAATGCACTTGATCGTCGCACCGCAGATAATAGTCCAATTGAAATCATGTTTACTACGCCACAACACAGTAGCAGTAGCAACGAAAATCTACTTGACATTTACAATGGTAACGTAAAGTATAATGCTTCTCCGGACTTATATAAAAACACTCCTACAATATCTGCCAATGGTGCTTTAGTGCCACCACCATATCGTGATCCGCCACCACCACGTAATAGTCCACTGCAACAGATAACACAACAGCAACCGCATCGAATGCATATCGATAATAGTTCACCTGCTGGTCAGCATGCAAATACAAATCCCTTCCTAAGCGACTACAGCAATGAGTTTGATGTGGATTTTCAAAATTTTAATAGTAATATTAATAATGTGAATGTAAACAATATAGAAGAGAGTGAAAGTATTTTTCAAGCTACACAATACAGTGATTTACTGCAGTTGATAAAGTTTCAGCGGGAAAAAATTTCAGCACAGCAATTGGAATTGAGTAAAGTAGGTTATTTCATATATAATATAGATTAATTTTTAAATATTATAATTAAATGTATACGTTTTGACTTTTAGTATGATGCTGAAATAGTGTTCTTGGAAAATAAGGAACGCGATCAGGCGCAGGAACTTGAAGCCATATCACGTGAAATAACAAAAGCAGATCAAATATTTCGACAAGGCAGTGAACAGGTATTTCAATTGTTTCCAAATTTATTGCTTTAATTAGCATAATTAACTTGGCTATGATGTTATCACCTCTATAGTAGAAGTAGTTGATTTTTTATTCTTGTTTCTATTGATTATAATAATTTTATTTTTGCAAATTTTAACATAAGTTTAATTAATAAGTGCAAATGTATATTTAATCATATAAAGCGACTTGTACGCCTTCTATATCACGATTTTATTACTCTCAACAAAATATAATTTATGCACAAAGTTGATTGAATTTATTCACACAACAGAGCACATATTATGTATGCATTTATTCTAAATGCTAAAAATAAAATACCTTCAATATTTCAATAATCTGAAAATGGGTTGACTGAGGTCATACAACATACATAGCCTCTACTATAATAATAATGAAATAACTAATTCCTTGTAGGTTTTAGCTATTGTTATTATCATTATAAACTATGATAAAATGATGTGGAATATATATTTAAATATTTTTAGTATATGCATATATGGATTCAATGTTTATCAATTTATTAAATTATTACTTTATTAAAGTATGCCTATCTCACTTTTATTAGATTTTTGCATGCATCCTTCTACAAAATGATACATGATGCATTAGTACCGCACACAGCGGGTTTAAACTAGAGAAAAAATTGTATCTTTATTGTACTGTTAAAATCATATTTCTTGACAATGTCATACTTTAGTTTACTAAATCCATCTCTAGATATGCTATTTCCGTGTCTATTTGTAAACAGCTTTCTATTGCTTAAATAATTATTTTTTTACTATATATTATATATTTATATATTTGATATAAAAAAAATACATACATAAAAAAAATTCCACGTGGTTGGAAGGCTTGTTTTTATGTATATCTATATTTCTATGTACATATATTTGTTTTGATTAGCTTTATAGCATTTTCTCTTCTTCAAACTTATTAATACCACTTATTTGTTATCTATAGTTTGATCACAAGTCTTGACTTTATCGGTGCTTTAAATACTTTGCTTTAAATTGATTTTGATATAATTTTGTTTACCAACATTCGTTTTCAAATAGTATTTTTTTTTTACTTTATTACAATACTTTTCAGTTGTTATATTATACATTATGTTACATATGTATTACGTGAGCTAAAAAGAAATCTATTATTTTCCCAATGGACGGTTTTAGTTATATAACATATATCCCGCGTTGAATAAGTCCGATCAGGTTACGCTAGATAGCGTAAGAAAGATGAGATTTCGTACGAAACAACTTTTGATAGTTTGGTAATTTTTAGAGTACGCGCGTCAAAGGTGGATACTAGCAAAGAGAAAATACGTCACATTTCACAGTTTTTCTTTGATGAAGACGAAAACGCAAGCAAGGCGGCTGAAAATGTGAATAATGTTTATAGTTCTGACACTGTAATAGTCAATCATGTTTAATTTTGGTTTCATTGATGCCATTCCCCGTTCCGGTAATTTCGATGTCAAAGTTGGACCTCGCATTGGGAGACCAATTGTCGAAAATGTCGATAAAATCATGGAAATTGCTGAGTCCGACCATTATGTAAGCACCGTTTTGATTGCCTAAGAGCTAGATATTGTACATAAAACCGTTTCGGGTCATTTGGTTAGATAAGGCTAGATACAAAAAGATGCTCGAACAACGATGTACGGATGTCACACGAGTTAATGCAAAAAAACCTCATGGACCGTTTTTCCATCTTCGAATCGCTGCTGAATTGCAACAAAATCGACTAATTTCTGAAGCGGTTGATGACTGCTATTTGGTGATGAAAAGTGGATTAAGATCACTTACCACAACGTCAAGTGATCAGGATCACATAACTTACGACAACGTCAAGTGAAAATGGACGAGGACATGTATGAGTGAAATTACCTACAAAATGTCAACAAGTTATCGTACAAATCTGATCATTCTATGATAAATAAGCCTTCAATTGTATTAAAAAATGGATTTCTTTTTATTACACCTATTATTTTTTTTGATATACTGAAACACTTCTTTTCTTTGACTAAATTGCATAAATTGTAAAACCTTTCAGATTTTCCTTTATTTTTATTTGCTTTTATTTGAGTATATCATTAAATGCTAGTTTGTCACCAATATCTATTAATTTATCTAGTGAAGTCTTTCTTTTCCACAAACTAGAATAATTTAATTTTTTTTTGTTACTTTTTACTATAATACTAATCTTTTATGAAAAATAATTTGTTTATGCACTATAAATTTTCTAACCCAGATTTCTACGGTATTATACCTCGTATACCTAATCTACAAAGAAAGAGATTTCTACGGTATTATACCTCGTATACCTAATCTACAAAGACTGGCTGGGTTAATAATAATGTGATTCCAAATAAGTGTCTCTATATTTACATATATGACTCTAAACTTGAAAATAAGAGGGTTAGGAGATGATTCTTTGAGAAATAAACCAAAAAGTATGCTTTCAACCGTCAAACCATTTTAGTAGTTTTCGGGCAGTTGTTGTTATAAAATCTCAGCAATTAAATAGTTCTGGCCATAATATTCACATTTGCAGTGATAGTAAAGCGGTCATTATATCTCTTGCTGGTGTTTTCATCACATGTTTACTTGATATCTTTCAACAAGATTTCAAAGTTTTCATGGCTAACCTGATATAAGCATCAGATCAAAAGAACATACCTATGTTTGATTGACTGGTCAGAAGTGGTCAGAAGTACTCTCTATAATATCAATCTCAGTAAATGTGGGCAAACCTTAAGCTTGAGTCAAGCTTACGAGATATAGATTACCAGTCATATTACATGTCCAAATATCCAAATAGAATAGTCGTATTGTTTTAAAGGCATGTATATTGTGTAGACAGGACGTTAAGTTATGGACTCCTTTGAACGATTACAATCATAGCTGTGTCAGTGAAAAAAGAAGAAAATGTCATTTATTTACTTTGTGACTGTGCACTATTCCGCAGAAGACGTGTATTGGTATAGAAATTCCTTTTCTGGAGTCTCTAGAATCTCTGACTAGAATTTTGGTTAAAATTTTTTAAGTCAGCTAGCAGCATGTCTTATATCTTTATTTTTTGTGTTTTATTACACAAAGGTCTACTTTTATGGGCCTGAGTGAGTTGCGTCTCATGAGAGACGTGTTGCCACTGGTATCTACCATATAACTAACTTAACTGTTATAATTTTAGTTGCAAACTCTACAATATGTAGAAGAAGAAAATGAGTTGGTAAAGCAACAAGAAAAAACTTTGAAGTCAGAAATTGCTTTGCTGCGTTCTAAATTGGCAAATTGTGAAACTGAACTATTGCAATGCAAAAATAAAATACGTATATTAATGGATGACATTGAGGTGGAGCAGAGAGCTATCACAAACAAGCAGAAGAATAATAGGTGTGTATTTAAGCAAAAACTTTAATTTGCCGTGACTTGAAGTTCTAAATGAAATTTATAAAATTTTAGGCAAAACGTGGAGCGTGATTTCTTAATGGAAATGGAGCGTATACAAAGTGAAATTGATTTAGCTATACATAATACAGACACATCAAATAAAACTGCAGAAAATTTAAAAAAAGAAATATTATTAATCGAAAATGCCATAGCTGAGAAAAAACGTCAGGTATGTAAAGTGTACATGTTCTTTGTTTCCATGATTTTGAGAATAAAATATTGCTTTTTTTCAGGTTGAGCAACTGGTCAATGAAATGAAAGAAGTTAATTTACAAAGTTTAACAGTAACAACATCGGAAGAGATCAAACATTTGTTGGAAGGTAATTATAGTTATATTCCATAAATATCAAATTAATAACTTAAAAATTGAATGATTGAAAGAATGTTTTTAAATTCTATGTTGGCATTTTCAATCACTGCAATAGACAATGTATTGTTGTTGTTGTGGAAATCTGCTTGTAAAATCCTTTTGGGGGTGGTGAATGCCATTTGGTCGTCAAGACTGATGAGTGGTTCTGGGAAGTAGATTTGGCCGTGCCTGAAACCAGACAAATTGCATTTCATTGTGTATATTCACTTGTTCTGTTATTCGTCACATATTCTCATTACATACTCGTGTTTTCCACAGGATGTTTCGTTCAGGTAGCAGAATTCATTAATATTTTGTATTGGATATTCAAATATGTTCTGATATACACAATACAGATGCATCAAGTCTAAGATTTTGTTTTTCTGCCAGTTAATACGTAGTCCAACCCTTGCTCTTGTCGAAATGAGCTCTTTTTTGTTTTAAAAAGGACGTTATCATCAGCTTGAGCAAATCTTCCAAATGCGAAATAATTCGTAATATAATTCGGTAGTCTTTTACTGTAAAAGTCATATGCGTTGAATTTAGTCTTAATACTAACAGAAACGAAGAGGAAGCATCACAAATGCAATAGAGTGCTGTATTCATTACATTAACTATCGTTGAATTGTAATGAATTAACGTAGGATCGATTTACGCCTAATCATTATTCTTACATTCTTAGTAGTGGGGTCTTGTATGCAGTAAGTATAATTTTGTTATACATATTATTGATTGCAAATGTAAGTGCGATTACTATTTAATTTTTAAAGATTTAAATTACTATATAAGAGTTTCTTTCCACTCTTCTATTACCGCTTCTTTTGCCATGGGTGCAGAGAGTGGCTATTAAATTTCAGCTAAGCTGCTTGCATTGCTTATGATAAAGGTTGTTCTCGTGACCATTTTTCTCTTTTTAAAATGTTTTATGGCTGTTATGCTTTCATCGTGACTGAGTTGTACTGTAGGATCTATAGAGACATGCCCAAGTGCGCTTCTTAATTTTGTTTCAACAAATTTTCTTGATTTTTCAAGTTCTTGAGAAACTTGATTTATTTTACCGATTTACTTTGCAGTTTCTCAAGCAGGGACATTAAAGAAAGTACGCTTAAAACTTCTCTCTTGCCTTTTGACATCTTTAAAAAGTATCGCTTAACTAAACTATTATTGGGGGGTCGGTTGTGTTTTCGAGTCCTTTTGTATTTTTGTCTCTTTCTGAAATTTTCTGCCAAGATTATGGAGAAATCCATTTCCTGTTGTTATTCTATGATATACCGATTGTTAAGGATTATCTGTAAATTCGTTCATGTTTTGATATTATTCGTTTAGTTTTCGTGATATTAAAAAATAATTTACCTTAAGCAATGTAGAGGGTTTGTGATTGCTATGCAGATTTTGAGTTAAAATGTTTTATGGAATTTAATAAAAATAATTATTTTTATTAATAATTCATAAATTGATAAATATTTAAAAATGATTTAACATTCAATACAATCGTAATTTCAGGTCCAAATAAACAGGGTAGCAGTCGTCGGATAATTGGTTCGCCTCGACAACTGGAAAATGCTGTGCCCACAAGCAAAAATCCTCATGGTGTCTGGGTTTAATTGAAAACAAATTTCAAAGTTTTTTTTTCAACAAAATTACCTAAACAACGCAACTATATCACTTTAATATTTTAACTTTATATAAATAGTACTATTTCTTGTTAAAATTTTTTAAAAATGTAGTTTTATATTTATACACAACGTAGAAAAGTTAAAAAAACGAAAATAAGACAAAAATGTAACGAACTTAACTTGGGAACAAACTAGGAAATGAGTAACATATCTACAAAAAACAATGAATATATCAACAAATACATATGCATATGTTTATAAAATAATAAAATTTATATTTAAAGTTTGTATCGATTATATATATATATATGCATGTATGTTTTATATATAAAAAACTATATATAGTTTATATCTAAAAAAGTGTTTTATCAAATTTAACGATAATTGTTAAATAATTAAAAAAAAATTAAAAAGATCTCTTTGAAACCTATTGTTACAAAATTTATCAATATTAGCTGTGTTAGGTATTATGACTTATAATGTTTAACAATATCTACACCTAATGTTTAAGGAAAAATAAAAATTAGTAAACTTTGCTTTATAAAAATTAATCAGATGATATCTGTTATGCTATTTTAAATTTACTTACAATTCAACTACAAATCAGTCAATATTCATTTGTTTACAAAAATTATTTTATTTATTATATTCTATATTAATTATTGAAATATTACATGAAAATGTAATTGCTTCAAATCGAACAAAATTCGAATTACAATATATATTTTTAAAATGTTTATAAAGACAAAAGATCGATTTAAAGACTTAAACGCATTCCATTTTATACATAACTGCCTTGCTTTAGTATTATTTTTATTTTACGTTAACAAAAAAGTTCAAATTTTAAACATTATTTTTAAAAATTCTTTTATACGCCTTTTAAAGTATATATATATATATATATATAATATGTTTTCGATCATTTCTAAATTAATTATGAAACTAAATGTTTTAGTAAACGAAACAATAAGTTGTGACTTAAAATTTGTGCTTGTGTAATTAAAATTTAATTTAGTTAATATGACTTACTATGCTTTTATTAAATATTTTATCTAGTCTTTAGTTTCGAGAGCAAGTTTTAAATATTAAATTAAATGATAAAAAATTTTGTTAGTAAAGTATTAGAACTTGCTTATTGATGTATATTTCTATATTTGTTTTAAAAATGATATGTGAAACAGTTTTAATATAAAAAATATAAAAAAGTCTGCTTTAAACAATTTTAAAATTAAATAATATAATTTAATCGAATGAAAAATAATTTTAAATTAACAACGTTGCAATAATTAAATTAGCCTTTTTTAAAAATTATGTAGTGTTTTTAAATTTTTATGTACTATAATTCTTTAAATTTAAATAATAAATAATTAATAAATTGTTTATTCAATAAATAAACAAAATAAAATTTTGTTAGTATTAAATAAATTTTACATGTAATAATATTTAAGTAAGCAAAGCAAAATATAAACAAAAAGTAATAGCTATTATCAAAAATTCTTATAAAAATTTAAAAATAAATAAATAACAAAATAAAAAAAAAATCAATTAATGTAATGATGCGAAATCAAATTATAATACAAATGACACAATTATTAATATAATAAAAAAATGCAAATAATAAATAAATAAATAAAAATTAATAGTGCCACTTAACTAATAAATAAATAAAGTTGTCAAATTAGAGCTAATAAAATAAAGAAAAATTGTAAAAGTCACAAATAAATAAATAAAGTTAATAATAAATAGAAAAGTATAAAAATTGGCAAGATCAAGATAAAATAATTTAGAAAAAATAAATAAATACATAAAACAACTAGTACCAATAAAAAAAACGCTATAAATAAAAATTAAATTAAATTATATAAAAATGATGTAAAAATAATAAAAAATAAGATAAAATATAATTGGTCAAAACTAATCCGTTTTCATTTTGTTAATAATCAAAATTATTACCAAAAAGTATTTGGTCATTAAAACAATAAGCTATTAAATGTTATAATACAAACAAAAAAATAAAATAAAATAAATAAAAAATATTTGTAGCAACAAAATTAAATATATATTTATAAAAAATATATTAAACATAAACAATAAAATTATTGTTTAAAAATCGATCAATTTTAAATTATGAAACATAAAAATGCAAATAGATTAAAAAATAAGTAAATCAATAATTATATTATCAAATAATTATATTAAAAAATTAATATAAATTTTAAATCAAAATAAAAGTAAATAAACAAATATATTGCAAAGAAATAAAACATTATAATAATAAATATATTTAAATTTCTATATTTTTTCTATGATTCTAAAAATATAATATGTTATAAATAAACAATAATAATTAGCAAATAATAGTCAACATATTATAAATAAATAACATTTATCATTTTTAAATTTTAATATTATAATAATAAAAATATATAGAAACATTTTTCGGAGCAGCATTTTCAATTTAGTCAAAAACTTGTTGCATATCTTAAGGCATTAAATTTATCTTGCCACTTCTAGAAATTCCTAAAAAAAATCACAAAACTCTTTTTAAAATTCTCTGCGAATTGAGTAAAAAAATTTGTAAAAAATAATTTCTGTATAATATCTTTAAAATGGGATGGGTGAGATGGATACTCTATCCTATTTTATCTCAACCGCGTAATCAATAAATCTGTGAAAAAATCGTGGGAAAGAGTTTTGTGGGAAATTGCATAAAGCTGAACCAGTAAATTTGGAAAATAACGATTATATTGTAAAGCAATCACACAAAAGTATAACTTCTAAGCATTTTGTTAAAATTGTTAGCACTTCTTGCATATATTGTAGTCTTTCGTATTAATATTAATATGTTTGTAATGTTTCAAAAAAGTCTTAATTGTAATTTTAGTATAATTAGTATAATTAATAAATAATATATATAAAAATTTTCTTGTGGTTAAGAGATAATCAGTTTTAAAAACACCAATGCAAAAACATAAAGAAACCTATCACCACCAACTGCAACAGCGACAGCAACAAATAATAAATATATTTATATGTATTTGAATATTATAAATAATCTCAAATTTTTAAAATTAAATACACGCAAAATTAAATTAAATTTATTAATAGTGTTTTTAAATTTAAATTAAATGTTTTTGATAAGTTTCACATGTGAAAATATTAACTTCAGGATACAACGGGATTTCAAAGCAAAGTCCACTTAAATAATAAACGCTTTTATGTAAAACATAAAGGCATGGTACAAAGCCAGGCTCTGAGACTCAAAGTTCCATGGTACATTAGGACGAATGACATCCTCAGGGACCTCAAGATTGATCCCATCAAAAAATACATAAAGGATAGAGCCCTGAAATTATTTGCGAAATCTGACAGACTTACTAACCCCGCGTTAGCAAATCGCAGAATGATTACAGGCTCCTCGGGGAGGTATGCAGATCTGAGGTCAATTATTGCTTAGTCTGATGAAGTGATAAACAATAATCCAGTCAAGGTGCAAAGAGGGGTTGTGAAGAAACCTCGCAGTTAATAGAGAGTAAAAGTGCTCAGGTGCACTGACTCAACTAGCCTCAACATAATAAAGGCATGGAAGTTATTAGACTTAAGCAATGAACTCGTTTAGAGGGCCAGTAGCGCATTGGCTAGATTATGTTAACGTGCAAAAGCAAAAAATTTGTCCAATGCTTACATCATGAAATGGTTTCATAAGCTAGAATAATTTTTATTGTTTTAAACTTTAACATTTATTTTATGACCAAAAATTATTTATATAGTCTTGTATAAGGTTAATTGGTCAATTTTTTTAAACTGATGTTCTTTAAACAACTTCAATTACTTTTTATTATATTTTCAATATTGCGACTTTAGCTTCGTGAAGACGAAATGAAATTAAAGCCGAAATATTGAAAACAATTAAAGTTGTTTTTCTTGATTTTTATTTATAACAATAGTCTAAAACTCTTGACCAATTAGATTAATATAACACTATATATTCTAGACTTCATTAATTTTATTCTGTAATTTAAAAATTTGAAAAACGTTCCATAAAATTTGTGAAGTTTTCAGAAGGTTATATAAAAGAAGAAAAAATTGCATGTCAAACACTTCCTTTTTTATAACTATTTGGAGAACATTTTATATTATTTTCGTTTATAATTTATTTCTAAATCAATATATTACAAGTGTTTTGTTGTTCAAAAGATTTTGTGCTTTAATTTGTGATATGAAAATGATCTATTAAATATGTTTCTTTCTAAGATGACAAATATATTTTTGATATTTTTACTTATTCAAGTATCTTAAGCAGTAACAAAAATCTAATAATTCACTTATTGAAATTCTAAAATTATATATCTTTTCTATTAGATATCTTCTCCTATTACACTGTTCTACGCAGAATTTAACAGATCGTATAAAAAAAAGACATGTGCAGTTGGTACATTAAAAAAAAAGAAATTTATTTATATCTTAAGAGAAATTATTTGAATTTTGGAACTCTTCTGGACATTTAAACATGTATTATATGTCAGCGATAGTGCTGGTTTCAAGTAGGATTAATAGAAATTAATAGAATTCTTTTGCTTATTAACGTTAGTAAAGCCTACATATATTAACTAAAATTTCGAAGAAGAATAATTTTAAAAAGCTGCAAAAAATTAAATTGTAGAAAGCTCAAACCTTGAATAATATTGCACCAGATATATCAAGATTGGAGATGAGAGAATATGGGATAAAAAATATTTGACCGTCATTTGAAAAACAATATTGTGTTTACCTAAGAACACTGGGTAAACTCATCGTTATATGAAGTATACCGAGCAGTTTGATTATTACCGCTCATTTTTAAACAATATTACAATGTTATTGACATCGTCAATTTACGACGTATGTTGAAAGTGTTTTTAAAAAATAGTCATAAACAACGAAGTATTGGATTTTTACATTTCTGATAGAGAACATATATCTACGCAACTAACATCAGACTTCTTGAAATCAGACTTCTTGAAATCGGTGTACTATCAAGCTCTTACATAAGTAGACAATATACTATTGATGACAGACAAAGCGGTCAACCGATGGGAACTTGCATTTAAGAGTAAGGAAATAACAGCCAACATGCGATTAAAAAAGCTAATAGATGTTGAGATGTTGTAAGAGAAATTTCACAAAACGCAGCATAATAGAATAAGAACTGAGTGTACTAGAGCTGAACTGAGGTTAACCAAATAAAACAAAAAGTGTGTTTCTGCTAAATGAAGTGGT